TCTCTGGGAAGAGCTGCTGCCAATTCCATCCGCTCCCTGTACGGCACCACCTTCCAAGTGGGAACCATCTGCAACACCATCTGTGAGTATTTCCCTACTCTGAGCTTGGCCCAGGGCAGTAATCTTTGTCCTCCACATGAGGTTTGTCCCTCTTGGAAGCAACTTGTGTGGAGTGACACCACCAGTCAGACATCAGAGCTGAGTGTTCACATCCAAACCTTCTGTAGGGTGACACCACTGGGCAAAAACCAGAGCTGAGTGTTCACATCACCACCAAGTCCTTATACCTCATAAATATCAAAGTAGGATGACAGTACTTCCATCATTCCTCTGTTCACCCTTCCAGCTCATCTTCCCTTCTCTTCCAGACCAAGCCAGTGGAGGCAGCATTGACTGGAGCTATGATAATGGCATCAAATACTCCTTTGCCTTTGAGCTGAGGGACACAGGGCGCTATGGTTTCCTCCTGCCAGCCAACCAGATCATCCCAGCTGCAAAGGAGACCTGGCTGGGCCTGAAGAAGATCATGGAGCATGTGCGAGACAAGTCCCACTAGAAGTCTGGGGTGGGAATCAGCTCTCTATGGCAGCAAGGTCATAACTCCTTGTTCATTCTGACAGCTGAATAAACACTCTGCGTGCATTTCTCCTGCAGCATTTGGATCTTGTCTTGTTCACTGTGACTCCGTGTGTGTGGTACATCCAGACCCAACCCCTGCCCTGGGCAGAGACACCTCCCACCAGCCCAGGCTGCTCCAAGCCCCATCCAACCTGGCCTGGAACACTCCCAGGGATGGAGCAGCCACAGCTGCTCTGGACAACCTGTGCCAGTGCCTCAGCACCTCCCAGCCAGGAATTCCTTCCCAATATCCCATCTAATCAGTTTGAAGCCATTCCCTGTGTCCTGTCCTTCTAGGCCTTGTCCCAAGTCCCTCTGCAGCTCTCTTGGAGCCCCTTGAGGCACTGGAATGGGCTCTAAGGTCTCCCTGGATCTTCTCTTCTCCAGGCTGAACATGCTGGTGCAGGGGGCCTGATATTAATTAGCATAATCCAGGCTATTAAGGAATTTAATTGCCTCTAATGAGCCTCAGGACACTGCCAGGCCACCACCCACTGGTGTGAGGAGCATCTCCTGGCTTAATGTCCCCATGTATTTGTCCTGCCCCTTTCCCCCCTCCCAGATTTGGGCATGGCTACAGGGAGGATGGAGTTGGGAGGACAACTGCCCTCACCCAGCCCAGCCAACTCATTCCCTCCTCCTGTTGTTCACCTTGCCAATTTCTTGGGATTAAGAGCAAAGAGCTCAGGGCTGCAGTGATTATCGAGTCTAACAGGTTTATCTCAGTGTCTTGTGACACCCCCCCTCCCCCGAGCAGCTGGTGAGTTACTCACCCTCTGTGAGCTTGGCAGGAGAGCAAGCACACCTGATGTCTTGGGTGAGATGTTAGTTCACGCTGGAAGGACTCGAAGCTGTTGGCAGGGAGGAGCTGAAGGTGCAGCTGAGGCAGCAGGAGGTACCACATGGCTTTGCTGTGGGGTTAAATGCAGCTGGTTTGGGAAGCAAAGCTGTGTATGTGCTCCCCATGTGTCCCTGTCCCCTCTGTTCATGACCTTCTCCAGTGGCAGCTGCTTCCCAGACCAACTCACCCTTCCAAAATCCCATCCTTAGCCAGTGGTTAAAAACTCCACTGGAAAAATCATATCATAGAATTTCAGGGGTTGGAATGGAGCTTAGAGATGATCTAGCCCCAACCCTCTGCCCTGGTCAGGGACATCTCCTCAGAGGTGCCACAGTCCCACTGCTGGGAAGGGACAGGGCACACAGTTGGCTCTTGGACCTGGACAATCTGTTGCCCCAGAGCAGGGCCCTTGTGGCAGCAGTGGGCAAGAGCTGCAGAGCCTGAGGAGCCTTGAGAATTATAGATCTGTGATCTTACTCTGGCTTTGAAGCTCATTCCAACCATCCAGGTCTTGAGGCCACCTCAAGGCCCCTCTGTCCCCTCTTCAAGTGCATGATGTGATGAGAACATCCAGTTTTGGACTCCTGACACCAAAGAGATCTGGAGCAAAACCAAAGGAGGTCACCAAGAGGAACAGGAAGATGTGTCTCATGGTGGGATGCTGAGGGAGATGGGCTGGTTTGGCCTGGAGATGACACAGCTTTGGGCTGGAGAGACCTAACAGGGATCCTCCCATCCCTGTGAAGAGGTTATTGAGGAAACACAGCCAAACTCTCCACAAAGGTTGATGGGAGAGGCAACAGCATCAGCTGAAATGAGAGACAGCCAGGCTGGATGTAAGGAAATGCTTTTTACCATGGGAAGAACTGTCAGGACATGTTGCCCCGTGGGGCTGTGCAGCTCCATCCTTGGAGGACTCTGAGACTCAATGTGGAGTGACCTTGTTTGCCTCCAGAGCTGACTGTGCTTCACCCAGGAGGGCAGACAGACCTTCTAGTGTCCCTTCCCACCTCAACCACCCCATGGCAGAGCTCAAGGAGTGTTTGGCCAATGCTCTCAGGCACAGGGTGTGATTCTTGGGGATGTCCTGGAGCTGGACTAGATGATCCTCAAGGGTCCCTTCCAGGCCTGAATACTGTGTGATTGTGTGATCCTGTGACTTTGCCCCAAGGAGAACTGTGCCCACCAGACAGGCCAAGCTCACCAGCATCAGCAGCTCTGCATGATGGAGCTGTCACAGACCCCTGACCACAACACCTTCCCCAGGGCACCTCCTGCTCTTGCAAGAGAAGGATGTCCTGGTTTTGATGGGGGAAACTCAAGGACAGAAGGTGTCTGCTGTAAACCCTGGCAGAGCAGACACCTGCCAGGCTGGGAACTCAGCCCAGAACTAGGAGCATCCTTGACAAGCACCGGTGGGAGCTCAGGGGCATCACAGATAAGCTCCCAACAAAGCCTCTGCTGTAACCTCCCAACAAAGACTCTGCTATAACCTGCAGAACAAAGAACCCTCTGTGCCAAGTGACCTTCTGGCACGGCAGTGGTGGCTGCTCTGGAGCCTCTGCCCTGTGCCCACTCAGCACAGCAAACCTACTCCTTTTTTACCCCAAAACAAGCCTTGCTCCTCTCTCTGGGAGCATTTCCCCCAAGGGAACATCCAAGCTCCATCACATCCACCAGTGCTGAAGGACATCCCATCCCTCACATGCTCCTGGCAGCATCCGATGGGCAGCACTGAGTTTATTTGGGATAATTAGTCTCCAGCTCACTAAATTAATCCTCACCCTGTGTGTGTTTCGTGCTTGGTTTGCTGCTGGTGATTCTGTAGTACCTTGGAGTTACACAGGGTTTGCTCCTCGTGGTCAGACCTGAGAGTGATGGGTAAGAAACGAAGGGAAATTGATGAACGAGTAAGAAATGAATAGAAATTAATGATAGAAAACATGCAATAAATTAATGGAAATTAATTGCAGTGATGTACAATAAATTGATGGAAATTAATGAGAGCAAAACTACATAAATGAATGGAAATTAATAAAGTAATGTGCAATAAATGAATGGAAATTGATTGTAGTGAGGTGTAATAAGTTACCTGGAGTTAATTAAGGTGTAAGAAATGAATAGAAATGAATGTAATAATGTGCAATAAATGAATGGGAATTAGTTGTAGCAATGTGCAATAAATTAATGTGTATTAATGTAGTGAAAGGACATAAATTAATGGGAATTAATGATAGCAATGGGTAATAAATAAATGGAAATTGATGATAGAAATGTGCAATAAGTGAATGGAAATTAACTGTAGTGATGTGTAATAAATGAGTTGGAATTAATTAACGTGCAAGAAATGAATGGAAATTAATGTAATAATGTGTAAGAAATGAAGGGAAGTTAATGATAATTATGTGCAGTAAATCAATGGGTACTAATTGCAGCAATGTGTAATAAATTAATGGATATTAATGGAGTAAAAGGACATAAATTAATGGGAATTAATGATAGTAATGGGTAATAAATAAATGGAAATTAATGATAGAAATGTGCAATAAGTGAATGGAAATTAATCGTAGTAAAACTACATAAATTAATGGAAATTAAGTATAGTAATGTGCAATAAATGAGTGGAAATTAATTGCAGTGATGTATAATAAATGAATGGAAGTTAATGATAATAATGGGGGATAAACAAATGGAAAGTAATTGTATTAATGTGTAATAAATTAATTGGAATCAATTATAGCAATGTATAATAGATTAATGGAAATTAATGATAGTAATATGCAAAAAATTAATGGAAATTAATTGTAGTGATGTGCAATGAATTAATTTAAATTAGTGATAGAAAAACTACATAAATTAATGGAATTTAAGTATAGTAATGTGCAATAAGTTAATGGAAGTTAATTGTAGTGATGTGTAATAAATGAATGGAAGTTAATGATAACAACGTGCAGTAAATTGATGGCAATTAATTGTGACATGCATAAAAATTCATGGAAATTGATGTTAATAATGTGCCACAAATGAACGGGAATTAATTGCAGCAAGGTGCAATAAATTAATGGATAGTCATGTAGTAAAACTACATAAATTAACGACAACTAATTGTAGCCGCGTGTAATAAATTCATGGCAATTCATGATGGACAGGTATAAAAACTCAGGGCAATTAATGCTGATAAGGTGCCATAAATGAGTGGCAATTAATTAATGTGCCATAAATGAGTGGCCATGGATGGTGCCAGTGTGGCAGGAGCTAAGGTCCTGTGCCCCCCAGGGCCTGGGCTGGGGCTGAGCTCCCACCAGTCCCTCCCTCCCTCCCCAGCAGGACCAGGAGGAGCTTCCCACACCTCCCAGTTTGGCTGCTGTGCTGTTGGCTTTGCCAACCGAAGGAAAGGTTTGGGCTGTGGGAGCTGCTCCTGCTCAGCTCTTGGTGCCTCTCCCGTGGGGACAGCACATGAGGAGCTCCAGGAGTGTCCCCAGGGCATTTCACAGGGAGCTGAGTGTCCTCGGGGGCTGAGGTTTGGCTGCATCTCCTGGCCATGGACATCCTGCTGCTCTTTGCCTCCCTCCTGGCAGCTACACGGGGCGAGCAGCTCTTTGTAGGGTGAGTCCAGGTGGGATGGGGTGGGAGAGCCCTTTGGGGTCAACCAGAAGGGTTTTCCCTCCCATGGGAGGGAAAACTGACAGCTCAGGGTGGTGTCCCAACAAGGAATGATGTGGTTGCACCCCAGGGTTGGAGGAAGGGTTTGGGCATCACCCCAGGTTTTGCCAGGGGGTGCAATCCCAGAAGATAAGGGGGAATGTGTGTGTCTGTGGAGCCAACCAAGGATTGTTGGGAAGAACAGACAAGGATGGGTGGGAATAATCTGTTTGTGTCAGCAATGGAGTGTCCAGCAGGACTAGGGCAGTGATCCTCCAGCTGGACACGGCACTAGGGTAGCCAACCAAGGATTGTTGGGAAGAACAGACAAGGATGGGTGGGAATAATCTGTTTGTGTCAGCAATGGAGTGTGCCAACCAAGGATTGTTGGGAAGAACAGACAAGGATGGGTGGGAATAATCTGTTTGTGTCAGCAATGGAGTGTCCAGCAGGACTAGGGCAGTGATCCTCCAGCTCGGCACTAGGTCACACCTTGAGTGCTGTGTCCAGTTCTGGCCCTCACTGCAAGAAGGACACTGAGGTGTTGGAGAGTGTCCAGAGGAGGGAACAGAGCTGGGGAAGGGTCTGGAGCAGAAGTCCATGAGAAGAGGCTGAGGGAACTGGGAGTGTTTAGCCTGGAGAAGAGGAGGCTCAGGGTGACCTTATCACTCTCCACAACTCCCTGACAGGAGGTTGGAGCCAGGTTAGATCAGGCTCTGCTCCCAGGGAACAGTGACAGGAGGAGAGGACAGAGCCCAAGCTGTGCCAAGGGAGGTTTAAGCTGGACATGAGGAACAATTTTTTCCCAGAAAGGGTGATCAGACACTTCCTTCCTTCCCTCCTTCCTTCCCTCCCTCCTTCCCTCGCTCCCTCCTTTCCTCTTTCCTTCTCTCTCCTTTCCTCTCCTTTCTCCCTCTCCTTTATCCAAACCCACTACCATGAGCTTATAGAATAGTTCAGGGATACACATCCCAATTTCCAGGCCAAGTGTGCAATTCCCTAAAGCTCTGAGAGTTCTTGAGGACCCCCTGACTTTTGTCTTCCCTTTCTACCACACACCATGGCCTCTCCCTTCCCCTTTAGGGTGGGACACCACAGTTTTGGTGTCATGGGCACGATGGTGTGGGGGAAAGTGTCCATTCAGCTTCCTGTGAGCTCTGGGCAGGGAGACCCATTCACTGTGGACAGCCAGGAGGGATCTCAGCAGAAACCCAGAATGAATCAAGTTGGAAAAGACCTCTGAGATCATCAAGTCCAAGAGGAAGTTGTTTGTTGCTGTGATCAGGAGAAGGAAAAGAGGCTGCAGGAGGAGGACTGACCTGGGACAGGGAGGTCTCACTACTAGAGGAGGATGTTCCTTCTCTGCCAGGGCTGTCCCTGTCCCCGGGGGAGCTCAGTCAGGCTGGAGTGGAAGCTCAGCCAGGAAATACTTCTACAGATATAGAAAGAACACACCAGTATGTTAGATATTCCCTAACATTCTGGGAGCTGATCAAACAAGGTTGGACACCACCTCAGGCTTTCCAGCTCCTGCTCTATGTCCCATTGTGGCTGCTCTAAACCTGCATCTTCTGCTCTTGACACTAAACCTCAGACAACTGAGGCATTATCCAACCCACCAAGCTGGTGTGGACATTCCACAGCCTCCACCCAGCCCATGTCCCTCCTCCTTTGATCTCTCCCTCCCTCCCTCCCATGCTGATGGCTCTGCCTCCCTGCAGGGACCAGGTCCTGCGCATCATTGCCAACGATGAGGAGCAGATGACCCTGCTCAGGGTGCTGGAGGAGCAGGCAGAGCTGCAGGTGAGCTGGGATGGGACCCTGAGCATCCCCCAGAGACATCCTCCTGGTGACATCCACGGCTTCCTCCTTCTTTTGCCCTCACATGCAGTTTTTATTCCCATTTTGGATATATATCATTTATAACTCTCTATGTAATGTTCAGCTGGGACTTCTTGAGCTCAACCCTACAAATACTTGTCATTCAAAGGGACATGTGCAGCCCATGAGCAACTTGGGCTCAATCATGTTGCTGTAGAAGCTCCAATGAGTGAGGCTAAGGGATGTTCCAAATGCATATTCCAAAACTTGTCCAAACCCCTTCTTAAATCCTTCATTGGACACTCCTATGAGATCCCTTCTGGTGCTGGGGAGCTCAGCTCACCAGCACAGGATGAGTCCAAGCTCTCTCTTTCGCCCCAGGTTGACTTTTGGCGTCATCCCACCAACCTCAACCACCCAGTTGACCTGCAGGTGTCCTTCTCCAGCCTCCAAGCAGTCAAAATCTTCCTGGACTCCTATAGCTTTTCCTACAGCATCATGATTGAGGATGTGCAGGTAAGGGCTGGGATAGGGAGTGGGATGAGCTCCTGCAGTTCAGTCCCATGAAGAGGTCCAAAAAGTTGGAGACTATGAGGAGATGGAAGCAAAACCCACCTCTGCTCCTTCCAGCCTGTTTGATGGGGTTTTTTACCTCCTAAACAGGAATTATTGGATGAGGAAAAGAAAAGCATGATGAGGTCTAGGAGGAGAGAGAGAAGCATCAGCACATTCGATTTTGCCTCCTACCACACCCTAGATGAGGTACTTGTCTCTGAGAGCTTCTGTTTCATCCTTCTGAGCTCCTACTCAACCTATGCCATGGCTGCATCCAGTTGGTGACATTCATGGTGGCAAGTGAGACCTCCCTGGGACACATCTGTCCTCCTTGGGCAGAGGTTTTATCACACAGAGGCCCAAGCACCAGGTCTTCTCCAGGGAAGCACTAAGTCTTCTCCAGAGAAGCACCAGGTCTCCAGGGAAGACTAGGTGTCAGGGAAACACCAGGTTTTCTCCATGGCAGCTCTGCATGTTCCATCTGTTGCTGGATACCCTAAATCCCAAAAGACAACCCAAGGTGAACCTCATGACCCAACAGCTCTTCCTTCCAGATCTATGACTGGATGGACATGCTGGTGGAGGATCATCCCAACCTCGTTAGCAAGCTCCAGATCGGGCAGAGCTACGAGAACAGACCTCTGTATGTGCTCAAGGTGGGTACCAGGGGTGTCGTCACCTCACCTAGCTCTGGAAGGACACAGGGATGAGATTCCCTCTCTCCATGCAGTTCAGCACTGGAGGATCCAACCGACCTGCCATCTGGCTGGACACTGGCATCCACCCACGGGAATGGATCACCACAGCTACTGGCATCTGGACAGCCAACAAGGTAACCACATGCCCTGGGATGGGGGACATCAAGTCTTACCCCAACACCTCCCCATGGTGCTGCTTGGTCATGTCCCTCATCCCCATGGGGCACTGAGGCAGCTCCTGCTCTCCTCCATGAGCAGATTGCTGAGGAATATGGCCATGACCCTTCTGTCACTGCCATCCTGGACAGCATGGACATCTTCTTTGAGATCATCACCAACCCTGATGGCTTTGTCTACACCCACCACTCTGTGAGTGCAGGAACACTGTTGGGGGTGTCTTGTCCCAGTGCTTGTCTCCAGCAACCAAGTCTGGTTTTTGGGTGGGGAGGGATGTTCCTTCCCATGTGGGACAGTGAGTGGGTGAAGGTGGTTCACTCCTATCCCAGAGATGCTTGCGCAGGAGCCTGTCAGAGCTCCAGGAACATTTGGCCAATGCTCTTAGGCACATAGTGTGATCCTCGGAGATGTCCTGTGTAGGGCCAAGAGTTGGACCTGATGATCCTCATGGATCCCTTCCAGCTCTGAATAGCCCATGATTCTGTGAGGAAGGTTCCACCTGACCCCTAAGGGTGGGATTCACATCCCAGGGATGGTGTCTTCTCCATTTCAGCATTGTTAGGGCTGCCAGGCACTGGGATATTGCCCAGGGAGGTGGTGGAGTCAGCATCCCTGGAGGTGTTTGAGAGGTGTCTGGATGTGGCGCTGGAGGATCTGCTTTAGGGTTTAGGGGTCCTAGCAGTGACAGGTTAATGGTTGGACTTGATGACCTTAGAGGTCTCCTCCAACCCTGCTGGTTCCCTATGCTCTAGAACCGCATGTGGCGCAAGACGAGGTCCATGAACGCTGGTTCCCGCTGTGTTGGTGTGGATCCCAACAGGAACTGGGATGCTGGATTTGGAGGTGAGAGTTGGGCCACCATGTCCCCACATCAGGCACTGCTTGTGCCTCAAAATCTTCTGCTAGAGGGGTAAAACCTGGAGGGTAGAAACCCTTCACCAGGGCTCCTCTCTGCATGGTTCCTTCTCCTCCTCCATGCTCCAGGTGCTGGTTCCAGCAGCAATCCCTGCTCTGAGACCTACCACGGGCCTCATGCCCACTCTGAGAGGGAAGTGAAAGCCATTGTAGACTTCATCCATGGCCATGGGAACGTGAAATCTGTCATCTCCATCCACAGCTACTCCCAGATGCTGCTTTTCCCTTATGGCTACAAGACAACACCTGCAGATGACTACCAGGAAATGGTGAGATGGCCCTAAAAGGTAGACGTGGGGCTGTGGTCACCAGTCTTGATGGAAAAGTCGGGGCAGATCATCCCAGGACCTTCCCTGCTCCTCTTGTTAGGTGCAACCTGTATGTTGAAGGGAGGAGGTTGGAAGACATCAGATGGTTCTTGGAGGGAGGAGGTTCCATCAAACATGAAGAGTGTTTTGGGGAGAAGTTTAAGGTGTAGAGGTTACAGCAGTGACAGCTCAATGGTTGGACCTGATGATCTTTAAGGTCTCTTCCAGCCTTGATGATTCTAAGAGCAGAGAGGGTGGAAAACAATGCTGGACTCTAGGCCCTGCTGTCCCAAGGTCTTGGTCCACCAGATGTCAGTACTTTTGGGCTCTCCTTTGCAGATTGAACTGGCCAAAAAGGCAGTGAGTGACTTGGCTGCTGTGTACGGGACGAAATACATCTACGGCAGTGTCGCAAACACCATCTGTGAGTGTTCCTCACCCACCCCTCGTGCTGTGGCCACTACCAACGCTCTGCTCTGGGGTCACATCTCCTCTCCTCTCCCTGCAGACATGGCATGTGGCACCACCATCGACTGGGCCTATGACAATGGGGTGAAATACTCCTTCACCCTGGAGCTGAGGGACACAGGGCGCTATGGTTTCCTCCTGCCCAGCAACCAGATCATCCCCACTGCCACTGAGACCTGGCCAGCACTGCTGGACATCATGGTCCATGCCCTGGAGCATCCATACTGAGTCCAGTGCCTCCCATGGCCTTCCCTCAGCAAAATAAATAGTCCTGGAGACCCTTCATGGCTTAAGGTGCTTTTCTTTTCCCATGCTAGACTTAAAGAAGAGGTGGAAAAGGATTCCCAGTCCTGCAGGTGGTTTTTAACCTCTCATGGCTTTGGCCCTAAAAGTCCTCACTCTTTGGGGCCAACAGTCCTGAAGGACATGGGAGCAGAAAGGTGTTTGGGCAATGAAAAACACCTTTTGGAGAAGAGAAGGTTGTGTGGAGAGCTCAGAGCAACCTGCCAGGAGCTGAAGGGGCTCCAGGGAAGCTGCAGAGGGACTCTTGGTTAGGAGCTGCAGGGACAGGACTAGGAAGAATGGAGAGAAATGGAAAGAGGAATTGAGATATCAGTAAGCAGTTTGTGCTGTGAGGGTGGTGAGACACTGGCCCAGGTTGCCCAGGGAGGCTGTGGCTGCCCCAACCCTGGCAGTGTTTCATTCCAGGTTGGCTGAACGTTGAGCAACCTGCTCTGGTGGGAGGTGTCCCTGCCCAGGGCAGGGGTTGGGGCTGGATGATCTCTGAGCTCCATCCCAACCCCTAAACACAGTATGATTTTTCTAAACCATAACCCAAACCTAGATCTGTGGGTTTGGAGCAGCTTTGTTCCATCATCCCTCCCCCAGGTGCTGTGAGGAGGGACTTGGGACACCCTCAAGGCCATCACTTTCAGACACTTGCTGTTTATTTTAATCCCCTGGGCTGACAATAACCTGCTCTGACCTCTGTCCTGGGCCAAACTCCATCAATTTCTCCATCACCATGGTCATGGCTTATCTATCTCCTGCATGAAAATCTGCATCTCACACCTCCTCAACTCAAACTGATCCTTTCCCTCCCCTCATCCCACACCATGGGCAGTGGGATTTTGGCACCTCCTCATCTCATCTTACTGACAGGTGACTCACCAACAGCCCCAGCCGGTTCCTGGAACAGGATTGACCAGGACTGGGTGTCCCATGGAAGTGGGACAGCAGGGTCACAGTGCCTGACCTTGGCTGGTGCCAGCCAGGGCCTTCCCACGGCCCTGGGAAAGGGACAGCTGTGGGGGCCGGGCTGGGGGCACCGTCCCAACGGGATTTAAGAGGCTCTGGAGTACTGTTGGGACACAGGACTGGTTCCTTGCGCTGAGGATGAGGATCCCTGTGCTCCTGGCTGCCCTGGTGGCAGTGGCCACCTGCACCGAGACCTTCGTTGGGTAAGGGGCTGGGACAAGGGTGGTGGCACTGCTCAGGGCAGAAGGAGCTGCTCCAGCCCTGAGGAACCACAAAAACTTGCGGGAAGAGGCTCAGTGCCAACCCCCAGAGTGGAAGGATGGATGGGGTGAGGGTTAAGGTGGATCCATGTGGTCTAGAGCTTGTCCTCAACACCCCCCTGACCTCCCCCAGGCACCAGGTGCTGCGCATTGTGCCCAGCAGCGATGAGGAGCTGCAGAAGGTACAGGAGCTGCAGGATCTGGAGCATCTGAAGGTACCTGGTTGGCTTTCGGGGACATCCCCCTTGTTTTGCACCCCCTGAGTCACGGTGTAAAGGAGGGGTGGGACTGGGGGAGCTCGATGGGAGGCGGTGGGCACCAAGTCTCCACAGCTGAGGCTGCTCAGCCTGGAGAAGAGAAGGTTGTGTGGAGAGCTCAGAGCAACCTGCCAGGAGCTGAAGGGGCTCCAGGGAAGCTGCAGAGGGACTCTGGGTTAGGAGCTGCAGGGACAGGACAGGGGGGAATGGAGAGAAATGGAAAGATGGAAAGTTAGATTTAAGTATTAGGAAGAAGTTTTTGCTGTGAGAGTGGTGAGACACTGGCACAGGTTGCCCAGGGAGGCTGTGGTTGCTTTAAGGAGGTTGAAGTTGCCCCAGGGATGTGGTTGCTCCAAGGAGGTTGTGGTTACCCAGGGAGGCTGTGGCTGCCCCAAACCTTGCAGTGTTCCAAGCCAGGTTGGATAAATCCTTGAGCAACCTGCTCTGGTGGGAGGTGTCCCTGCCCGTGGCCAATCTAGTTGGGAGTAGGTGATCTCTAATCTCCATTCCAACTCCTTAACACACTGTGCTAAGTGGTGAAAAGCAAACCAGAGGCTGGTGCTGGGGAGGTGCAGCCTGAGGCAGGATCTGACCCCTCATCCCTGTTTTCCTCCTCCAGTTGGATTTCTGGCTGTCACCCCGTGGCCTTGGCTATCCAGTGGACATCCGTGTGCCCTTCCCTAGCCTGCAGTCTGTCAAAGCCCACCTGGAGGCTAGTGGAGTTCCCTACTCCATCATGATCGAGGACGTGCAGGTCAGTAGTGGTGGAAGGGAGGAGAGCGAGACACACAGTCTCATCATGGTGAGGCCAAGGACTCATCCTGCCCCATGTCCCCCAGGCACTGGTGGATGAAGAGGAGATGGAGATGCTCCGTAGCAGTCGTCAGCTGGCACTGTCCACCACCACCTTCAACTATGCAGCTTACCACACCCTGGATGAGGTGAGAAGCACAAGACTTGGGGCGTTTTGAGGGGGGAGAAGTTGCATCTGGGAGTTGTCCTTGCAAAGCTCTTTGCTCCACATGCAGCCAAGGCAGGGGGTGAGGTGGAAATGACCCATCCTCATCCTTCTCTCCCAGATCTACTCCTTCATGGACATGCTGGTGGCTGAGAACCCCAACCTGGTCAGCAAGCTGGAGATTGGCCGCTCCACTGAGGACCGTCCCCTCTACGTGCTCAAGGTGAGGGTTGGGGGTTCCTGGGGTGTCCAGAGGGGTGGAGCGAGGTCAAGGACTGAGCCAATGTCCCTCTCTGCTCTCCCAGTTCAGCACTGGAGGCACATCCCGCCCAGCCATCTGGATTGACACTGGCATCCACTCCCGTGAGTGGGTGACTCAGGCCAGTGGGGTCTGGTTTGCCAAGAAGGTAAGAGCATGTCCCACACACACACTTGAGGTCCCCCAAGGGTCACCACAACCCCTCTGTGGGTTGAGGTGGTTGACCCCACAGAGAGCACAGGGAGTTCCAACCCACCTTCCTCTCCAGATTGTCGATGACCATGCAAATAATGAAGGTGTTGCCTCCATCCTGGAGACAATGGACATCTTCCTGGAGATTGTCACCAACCCAGATGGCTTTGCCTACACCCAAACCAAGGTACCACCTCAGTTTTCCTCTCCCAGGTCCTACAACTGTGCTGGGTGAGGCTGAGGAGCAGGACTGAGGTGCTGCACAGCCCTGAAGGGTCAAAGCCTCCTTGTCCACGTTTCCATGGGATGAGAAGGGACCACCATGATCCCTTAGTCCCTCTGTTTGCTCCAGGCTGGTGGAGCTCCAGCCCTGAACACCAGCTGAGATGACTTTGCCGTTCCAGAACCGCATGTGGCGCAAGACCAGGTCCCATCACTCAGGCTCCATCTGCGTTGGCGTGGACCCCAACCGCAACTGGGACGCAGGTTTTGGAGGTCAGAGCTCTCCCAGTCACCCTGTGGGGTATTTCCTTGCTCCAGCTGGTGGGTCCAAGGCCATTTCTGGCTCAAAGATCCACTGATGTCCCTTGGGGAAGAGATGGGATTTGCTCTCTGTGGCAGAGCTGAGGGTTTGGGCTCCACCAGGGCTTTGATGACCTCCAGTGATCAGCAGAGTGGGGATCACAAATGAAAGTCATCCTACACATCTCTAGAGGATCCCCAAGAGAGTTCCTCAAGCTGAGGGGTGGGAAAAACTCTTGGGCTTGGAAGGGAAAAAACCTTTTGCCTTTGTAACTTTTTGAGCCACCAAACCCCCACACTGTGTTCTGTCTCCTCCTCAGGGCCTGGTGCCAGTGGGAACCCCTGCCTGGAGACATACCATGGGCCTTATGCCAACTCAGAGCCTGAAGTGAAATCCATCGTGGACTTTGTGAAGAGCCATGGGAACATCAAGGCTTTCGTTTCCATCCATAGCTACTCCCAACTCCTGCTCTACCCCTATGGTTACACCACAACTCCAGTGCCTGACCAGCAGGAACTGGTAGGGCTGATGGGGAGGTTTGGGAGGGTTGGGATGATGTGAGGCTGCTCCGCCTCCAAGGAGGAGCCACCTCCATCCTTCACTGGGAAGTGACCACTGGGAGGAAGCCCCTGGGGGCTGCCTGATGAGTTTGGCATCCTTTTTGCCCATCGCATGAGGGAAAGTCTTCTCCCACAGGCTGTATCCAACAGGATTTTCCCTTCTTTGGCTCATGTTTCTTCCTTCTGTGTGTTCCCAGCATGAGATTTCTGAGAAGGCTGTGGCAGCTCTGTCTTCCCTGTATGGCACCAAGTACAAGTATGGCAGCATTATCACCACCATCTGTAAGTAGGAGGAGCAGCTGTGGCTCCCCAAAATCCACCACAAATCAACCCTCACACTGTGGCTTAGAGAAAGAGCCAAGAAATTCCCAGAAGTCATTGAGAAGGACTTGGGGGTGATGGTTGATGACAAACTCCCCATGAGCTCAGTGTGAGCTCAGCCCAGAGACCAACCCAGGCCTGGGCTGCGTCCCAAGGAATGTGGCAGCAGGTCAAGGAAGGGATTCTCCCCCTCTGCTCTGCTCTGCCCCACCTGGAGTGCTGCACAGCTCTGGTGTCCCCAACAGCACAAGGACATGGAACTGTTGGGGCAAGGCCAGAGGAGGCCACGGAGCTGAGCAGAGACTGGAGCACCTTCCCTACGAGGACAGGCTGAGAGAGTTGGGGCTGCTCAGCCTGGAGAAGAGAAGGTTGTGTGGAGACCTCAGAGCAACCTGCCAGGAGCTGAAGGGGCTCCAGGGAAGCTGCAGAGGGACCCTTGGGTAGGAGCTGCAGGGACAGGACAAGGAGCAATGGGGAGAAATAGAAAGAGGAAAATTGAGATGATATCTTAGGCAGAAGTTTTGCCTGTGAGGGTGGTGAGACACTGTCCCAGGTTGCCCAGGGAGGCTGTGGCTGCCCCAACCCTGGCGGGGTTTCATTCCAGGTTAGCTAAAGCCTTGAGCAACCTGCTCTGGTGAGAGGTGTTCCTGCCCATGGCCCATCCAGTTGAGACTGGATGATTTCTAATCTCCATTCCAAGCCCTTTACATGCTCTGAAACTCTGAACTAAGGCTTTGCATCCCTCCTGTTCTCTCATTCAGACCAAGCCAGTGGAGGAACCATCGACTGGACCTACAACCAGGGCATCAAGTACTCCTTCACCTTCGAGCTGAGGGACACTGGCCTCTATGGCTTCCTGCTGCCTGCCAAGCAGATCATTCCAACGGCAGAGGAGACCTGGCTGGGGCTGAAGGTCATCATGGAACACGCCAGGGACAACATGTACTAAGTGGGATCTGGGTGGAGTTGGCAGGAGAGGGTGAAGAAGGCAAGGAATAAATGTAAAGGAGGATGAGAAATGCCTTTTGTTGTTTTGCCTTTGTCCAAACCATGTGGAAAAGTCCTTTTGAAGGGGGGTCAGAGCTCCTGTGGGAGCAGCCAACACAAACAGCATGTGCTGGTGCAGTGGCCTGGAAAGGGGATCACAAACAGCATGTGCGTGTGCAGTGTCCTGGAAAGGGGAATGAAAGGGCATGAAAATATCAGGAATGAAAGAAAAGGAAGTGGTTGTTTTCCCTCTGCTCTGGTAGATGGAAGGGGACGAGGTCTGGTTTGACACAGCAGCACTGGGACACAGGCAATGGGAGCAGTGTGACTCATTGGGGCTTCAATGCTGGAGAGGGATTTGGACAAGGGCCTGGAGGGACAGGACACAGGGAGTGGCAGATGGGATATTGGGAAGGAATCCCTGGCTGGGAGTGCTGAGGCACTGGCACAGGTTGTCCAGAGCAGCTGTGGCTGCTTCATCCCTGGGAGTGTTCCAGGCCAGGTTGGACAGGGCTTGGAGCAACCTGGGCTGGAGGGAGGTGTCCCTGCCCAGGGCAGGGAGTGGGATGGGATGAGCTGGAAGGTCCTTCCAACCAAAACCAGTCTGTGGCCCCTCCTCACCCACTGCAATCCCTAGGGAAGGTGGAGCCCATTCCTAACCTTCCATGCTCTCCACAGCTCAGACACAACTCAACCCTCTGCTGTCATTTACATTTTATTACATTAACCAATCAACACTCACAGTTACTACCTTTGGCTCTTCCCCCCAAACAACACCAAGTTAAAAGTCCACAAACATAAATCCATCAAGATGATGGGAGAAAACATCCAGTCTTTGTGATGCTCTGGATTTGGAGCAGCTCAGACTAGTTTTGTCCATTCACTTTAGGAGGTTTTCATGGAGCAGCCAAGGATTTTGGATGTGTCTCCCATAATGAATAGCAAAATCAGGACTTTCAGCCAACACAATGAGACTTCCAAGAACTCATGGAGCTGGAGATCTCCTGCTCCCACACCAGCAGGACTCTGAGTGCTGCACCACTCCCTGAATTCCAAGCAGGTAATAAAGCACAGATCATTCAGGCTGGAAAAGCCCTTGGAGATGGAGTCCAACCACTCCCAGCACTGCCAAGGCCCCCACTGACCATGTCTCCAAGTGCGACATCCATACGGCTGTGAGATCCTTCCAGGGATGGTGACTCCAGCACTGCCCTGGACAGCCTGTCACATCCTTTTCCATGAAGGAATTGTCCCTAATATCCAACCTGAGCCTTCCCTGGTGCAACTTGAGGCTGTTTCCTTTTGTCCTATAACAGGCTCTCTCCTGGCTCTCTCCTCTCCTGGGCACATCCAGCTCAATCAAGCAGTTGGGATCACTTTTCCAACCTCAGCCTGGCCAAGCCACCGATTGAATTATGCAGGAATTATGCTGCTTGATTCCGTATTTTCCCTCGGAGCTGCTGCACATGTTATACCTCAACTTGCAAAGCTAAATGTGCTATTTTTCCAACACCAAATTCCTTTGAAACCTTCACTTAGCTCTTGTTCTCTCTTACTCTCCCTGTGGGGTGATCCTGAGGCAATATCCAAACCTTGTGCCCAACATCTCCCTCTGGAGAAGCCTGAGGTTATGGCTCTTAGCAGCAACTGCCAGGCCTGGAATCAGCATTCCCTGATTTAACACTCATGGAGACACAACAAATGTGCTCAGGATTGGTAAGTCCTAAACTGCCAAACTTGGAATGAAGTGCAACTTTCTTCACTTTGCCCCTTCACTACTGGTGAATTTTGGGATGTGTTGAATGTTTTCTACTTCAAAGAGTGGAAAAATTGATTTTAAAAAACCCAAATCCACACAAAATCCTTGATAAGCAAAGCTGGACAAGCTCAGCAATGCAGCAGGTAGAGACTAGAGAGCAGAATCCCTCCACAACCACCATCAAGAGCCTTGTGGGCAGCTCTGCTTTGCCACCAGGTGGAATTGGATGATTCCCAGCTGACCTGGAAACACCAATTTAAGAAAAACTGATATTCATTTCTTTGGAAATCTTCATTCTGGTTAGTTCCAGACTCCTGGGCCCTGCTGGGCTTTAGGGACTGTGCTGAGATAGCAGCAAAGTTCCCTTCAGCTCTCCATAACCTTTGAGAATCTTCTCCAAAACCTCTGGCAAAGGTGGAACTGGGAATAAACCTCCAGTTCTTCACCTTGAAGAAGGTCCAGGAGTGTCAGGTTACAGCAGCACATTTGGGATAGGTCCATAAACCTCTTTATTACAAAAGCTCCTAAAAAAACCCCAACCCTTCCAGGAGTTTTTCCATGTTGGCAAAGTGCAGTGTCTGAGAGTCCTAAAATCCTCCAGAGGTTGTGCTTATGGAGCATTTCCAGCCTGTTTATCCTTCAGGAGCATTCCCAGGTGGCTCCAGGAATACGTTATGGATCCACATTCATCCACGTGGACTAGAACAGTTCCTACTGGTCACAAACTTCACTACCAGTTTACTCCCTCCCCTACCAAACCAGTTGTAGCATCTCTGGCCTGACCTGTGCC